TCTCTCTCTCTCTCTCCTGCGTCTCTCTGCTCTCTCTCTCTCTCATCTCTCTCCTCTCTCTCTTTCTCTCTTTCTCCCTCTCTTTTCTCTCTCTCTCTCTTCTCTCTCTCTCTCTTTCTCTCTTTCTCTCTCTCTCTCTCCTCTCTCTTTCTCTTCTCTACTCTCTCTGTTCCCTCTCTTTCTCTGCTCTCTTCTCCTTCTGTCTCTCTCTTTCCTTCTGTCTCTCTCTCTTCCTTCGTCTCTCCTCTCTTTCTCCTTCCTCTCTCTTCTCTTTCCTCTCTCTCTCTCTCTTTCCTTCTCTCTCTCTCTTTCCTTCTCTCTCTCTCTCTCTCTCTCTCTTCTCTTCTCTTCTCTCTCCTCTCTCCTCTCACTCACTCACTCACTCACTTACTCACCACACACACACACCACACCACACACACACACCACACACACACACACACACACACACACACACACACACACACACACACTACACCACACACACACACACAACACACACACACACACACACACACACACACACACACACACACACACAACACACACCACACACAACACACACACACACACACACCATTAATGTGTGTGTGTATTAGACGATGAAGCTAAATGTTGGTTTGTACAGTTAGTAAATTTCACCACTTCAGTTACAAAAAGCAGATTGATGGACTAGAACATATCTTGGACCCTTCTATCAGAAACTTACCCACTAAAATCCAGCATCAGTTTTTAGTTCTGGCAGTACCAGCTTGTTTTGATCTTGCTTCAGCGCTTCGTACTGGTTAGAGTAAGGTGCTGAGGCAGGACCAGGTAGCGTGGCATGATCGTGAATTGGAAGACCTCAGCCTTTCCTTAATAAGGAAGGAGTTGAGATCATTGCTTCATTTCCTGATATATTGTGAATTTTCTGGGTTACCTCTTCATTTGTATTGTGATTTCCCATGTTATTGAGTTGAGGTTACTGCATGTAATGTATATTCCATTTTAAACAAAGGAAAAGAAGTTCATTGTATTTGTATATGTATATAGATACATAGACATAAATATAGACATGTAACCTTTATGTTATTGTAATGAATTTTTATCACCCAATTGATGCATATTTGAAGTACTGTGTTAGTATCACAGGGATTTGATAGAATATTAATATTGTGTTTCTGTTTGCTGGACATAGCATATTTTTGGATGTAACTAAAATATGGTATTCATAGTTATCTCATTGTCAGTATATTTTGCATTGACAAAGGCCATTGAATTGTGATTTAGACAGCCCCTAATTATCCAGTGTTACCGCCTACTGCAAATGTATAGGTCAATAATCTAATTTTTCTCGTTAATCTTATTTCTGTTCTTCTGAAGACTGATTGATACTCACTTTGTCCAACAGGAGACAGTTGCCGAACTCATGTGGGCCAAACGACCAAACCCGGACTATGACCTGGTTTGCGGGGTAGCCTATACGGGGTTGCCCATTGCTACTGTAATTTCCACCAAACAGGTATAATGTTGTTTTGTATGTTTGTTTGTATGATGTACACTCTCTTTGAAATGCTATCCCCCCTGCATGCAAAGGAAAGAAAGAGAGTAAGTGTGTGTGACTGTCAGTCATTGAGAGTATTTACAAGATTTTATTGATTTTAAGGATATGGGATGTTATACATATCAAATACCATCTACCACGATGAAATATTGGGCAAATGGAGTTGATTTATACAACTTGAGACGGGATCCTTGACTCCATGTGCCTTCCCACAACTTAATTTCTAATGATCTGATTGAAAAAAATATATGTTGAAATAGTTACTTGACTTGAGATCTTGTATCTTTTCATACATGTTTTCATAGGATGAACATAGTAGAAAAAAAAAAAAAAAAATAATTGTATGGAGGAATTGTGGGAACATATGGTGATGGCATTTTAAATGCATAAAAAAAACACACACACACACACACACACACACACACACACACACACACACACACACACACACACACACACACCACACACACACACACACACACACACACACACACACACACACACACACACACACACACACACACACACACACACACACACACACACACACACACACACACACACACACACACACACACACACACACACACACACACACACACACACACACACGGGGCATAGCCAGAATTTTAAGAAAAGCAACTGTGTTGAAAAGGTAATAAATTCCTTTAGCTTACAAAAAGAGAGGGTTTGCAGTATATCTTGTTAGGAGTGTCACTGCTGCACCAACATTTAATGGTGGAATGTAGCTCTGTGATGTGTGGTAGTGTGATGATAGTGGAATGTGATCATACTGATGGAGTGTGGTGGAGTTGGTGGTTTCATTATTATTATTATTATTATTATAATTATTAACATTATTATTATTGTTATTTGTAATGGCAGAAGTGGTTCACAAGTTCTTTGGGCCTAGTGCAAGTAATATCCCCCATGCAAAACTATGAAATGACAGGCTGGAGATAAAGCTGCCTAAAAAACATGGTTGCCAACTGTCATTGTGAAAAAGGCACCAGATGACTTACTGAATGTATGGCAGAAGTAAAAAAAATTGGCCACTGTCTGTATGTCCCTATATAGACAGAAGGCAACCAATAACTTAACCATGCACTCCATTTCTAAACCACCATCAAATGCCCTACCTGGAACTTGATGGATAGTTTATGGGTCCCCAACCAAGCACCATTTTTCAACCCCAAGCAGAGTAAAGTGTGCATTACGACTTAAAGAGTGGATGGAGCCAAGTCGCTGGTGAAAGTTTGTCTTTCAAATTGAGTTCAGTTGACAAATCTCGAGGAGAGAGGCACTTCCCTTCTCATCCCCCCTCCCCTTTTTGAGGGAGAGGAAGAGAGAGAGAAAGGAGAGAAAATATGAAATCAATATTTAAAAAGTATAAAAGAAAGTTAAGAAGTAATGCTGCCTGCATATACATCATTCTTGACCTAGATATGTCATGAGAAATTGTAAAAATCTCTCGCTGTTTTTTTTTTTTTTTTTTTAATACCTTTATTGATAAACTTTTTTTCTTTTTTCTTTCTTTCCTCTCTCACTTCTTCCTTTCTTTGTTGATGATTATATGAGTGAAAAGAAAAAATTAATCAATAAAGAGCCCCCCTACCCCCCCCCACCCACCATACCTAGGCAGCAATATACAAAGATATTGATGCTTTGAATATCTAATTACACTGTATTTATTTCTCATCCTTAAGATTATTTATTGTCATGTACATCAGATTTTACAGAAAGCCTGAAATCAGGACAGCAGAATATGGAGGGGGTGTGGTAAGGGCTAGCTTTGCATTTGAAGGAAAGATAAAAAAAAATTAAAAAAAAAAAAGTTATAGAAGAAAAAATATAAATAGGAAGAAAGAAAACCGCAAAAAAAATCCTTGCGCAATTATTTGAAGTTGCAGGAAGTATAAAGTATGCAAGATAAGATCAAATTAAGCAAAAAAAAAAGGATAAACTAAATAAGAATACACAGCACCGAAGGGGGAAAACATTATATATATTAATAAGATGAAATAAATGAAGAGGAGGAATAAAGAAAGAAAGGTAGAAAATAAGACGTGTTATATATTTTGCGATCTTGCAGGAACTTCCAATGCTGATTCGGCGCAAGGAGAGCAAAGGTTACGGAACCAAGAAGCTGGTGGAAGGGAATTACGAAGAAGGCCAGAACTGCCTCATGATTGAGGATGTTATTGTGTCTGGAAGTTCAGTGTATGAGACCCTAGAGGTAAGTTTTGTTTGTTTGTGTATTTGTGTTTGTTTGTTTTACTGGAATATAAGAAATAGAAGAACAAGGCTATGATCTTAACATTAGAAAACAATCTTTCATCACCATGTGATGAAAGACTTGTAAGTAAACAATGTCCATAATGCATCATATCACAAAACAACCCAGCAGATCAGAATGAAAATGTCCCAAGGATAGGTTGCAGAAAGGGGTCTCATTCACAGTACTAAATGTTCAGACAGACTACCAACCCCTCATCTTCTCTTTACAGACCCTGAAGGAGCTGAAGTTGAAAGTGGACGATGCCATTGTTTTCCTCGACCGTGAGCAAGGAGGAGCAGCAGCAATGTCATGGGGTTCCATGGGGGTTAATGTCATCTCCGTTGTTACCATGACCCAGGTAAGCATTGACTTCTGGTAAGATGTCTTCATAAGACTCATTTGTTATCGTTTGGTTTATATTGATAAGCTAGGGGTGATATCCAAAGCAGAGAGTAGTAGTCAGAAGTGGGATAAAGATTAAGAAGTCATTTGATCTTTGTAAATAAGAGATTGTTGGCAGATAAAAGTAAAAGATGGTCTGGCTGTGATGTTTTTTTATCTTCCTCTTTATTTTTATTTTTCCTATGTGAGATTTATGTTTGAAAAATGTCATTCTATGTATATATATATATTTTTTTTCCCATAATGTGAAGATGATGGGAATCCTTCTGAAACATGGGTGCATCAACCAAGCAACTTCAGAATCGGTTTTGGAATTTGTTGAATCACACAATGATACGTCAATCGTCACAAAGGAGAAATCTTCATGTAAAAATGGTATGTTCCAAAAAATGAAATAAAAAAAATTAAAGTTCAAAGGAGATGTTATTGTTTATTGATATTTGCATTTTAGTGTTAATCACTTTCTTGTTCTGTTGTATAGACATTTTTCTAGGTTGCAGATATAATTAACAAGTTTTATTAGGAATTTCAAAAGCGTTAGAATGAATGTTTATTCTGATTTTTATGCTGATTATTTATGAATGGATGTAACTTTCCATTTTAATGATATTGATATTACAATTATTATTATTATTATTGTTATTGTTATGTTTATTATGAGTATTATCATTATTACCTCTGCCAAGGAGATTATGTTTTTGGTTGCATTGGTTTGTTTGTTCATTGCTTAGCAGAATAACTCAAGAAGTTATGAAAGGCTTTTTATGAAATATTTACCAGATGTGTATCTTACCCTAACTTAGATGCCATTAAATTTTGGTGGTGATCCTAATCATGATCCAGATCCAGGATTTTTTGGAATGATTGCAAAATTTACCCCTATTGCCAAGGTAATTAGAATAATAATAATTACCCTTATTGCCTTGACAATAGGGTAACCATGGGGTAACTATTATTAGTAAAATTACCTTTACTGTTGGGGATGTTCTCATCTATCTCCCAAACAGTATAACGTCAGTTCATATCTCACCTGAAATCATAAGATATGCACTTCGTTATCTCCCATCCTCGTTCGCCAAAGTAGGGATCACGAAGTCATGGATAAACCCGTTTATTGTAGGGTTTGTAGAAAGAGTCTCTTCTATGTCTACTCTTTATTGTTGCTAAGCCTTGAGGGGTTACATACATCGCCGCTAGGGCATACATTTGACCGGTCATAGAAAACGGATTGCACATCGTTGCACGGGTATCACAAACATAATAATTGTTAGTCAATTTATACATAGGAACTTAGTGTTAATAGCATATATCATTTAGTATATGTTAATACATAACACTTCCTTTCTCCTTATGGAAGATAATACAATTTTTGAGAATCTCAGAAGCATATTAAATAAATACATAATATCACAAATATCACAATAGTTGACAATATCACAATTATAAGTATTACAACTGCCCCGAAGCATACAGTTGATACCATCACAATGGCTTGATTACACATAGATACAATTACATTTTTCCCGTAAGGATATAATTGTCAGCATATCTAGCCGGAAGTTTATTTCTGGTAGACCTTTGTGGTAGCTCTTTCTTTTTAGGTATATCAGAAGGCATATTCTCCTGGTCTACTTTAACTTCCTTCTTTTCCTGCTGTATTGATTGATCTTGCTGCACAGAAGGAATTATGATTACACCCTACATAACATTTACCACCTCTACCAAGGAGGTTATGTTTATGGATGTCACCAGTGTACTTGAGAAAGAGGTGATTTTAATGTAATTCTTCAAGTCTATATTTTTATCGCATCAATGACCATATTCCCTTGGCAGAGGTATGCACTCTGAGTGCCTGTAGTTAATATATATTTTCTTCTTGATAAATGCACTGTACTATTTCCACTCTTAAATGCTTACTTCTGGCATATATCCTGTTCCCTCCAGGAATTGATGTCATGGACCGCAAGAAGAGATCCTTTGAGTCTCGAACCAGCGTCACCAACCACCCCTTGGCCAGGAAGCTCTTTGAGATCATGTCCTCAAAGAAGACAAACCTGTGTGTCGCAGCTGATGTCACCACCTCTGCGGAGTTAATATCCTTGGCAGAGAAGGTCAGTTCAGAGTTTTCAAAGATGATTGATTTTGAGTGTGTGCGCGCTCGTTAGCGTGTATGCACGTTAGCGTGTGTGCGCGTTAGCGTGTGTGTTGTTTACATGTGGAATGGAGAATTTTGTTTGTAATGGTAAGTGTAGGGAATAAGAATGGATGTGGAGAGGATTTTAGGATTGCATGATTGTATTTCAGAGATGGCACCTCCGTTCCTTATTCTAGTCATCAGGAAGGAGTTTGATGTTTAGTTCTTATTGTGTAATCTTTTTATGATTGAGTGAAATTGTATTTATTGTTTTGCACAATTTTTTTTTTTTTTTAACAGCTAGGGAGAGCTTTGTATGTCTAAAAACTAGATGATAGAAATATTTCCTTATAGGTTGGTCCTCACATCTGCCTGCTCAAGACCCACATTGACATCTTGACAGACTTCAGCAAGGAAACAGTTGAGAGCTTAAAGGAACTCGCAGCAACGCACAACTTTATGCTTTTTGAAGACAGGTTTGTAAGCACACATATATAGTTAACAGCTTTTAATGAATTTACTCTATGTTTAAGGACTCTTCCAACTTCCTTTTCTGATTTTGCTACATTCATTCTTCTTCCCCTGCCACCACTACCACCTTCACTTTGTCGTAGTCCTCCTCCTCCTCCTTTATCATGCTGCCAGTCAGGATTGTGACCAGCAGTTTTGAAAATCAAAAGATTTTTTCTTAATTTTCCATCTATTCTAATAATTTAACTTGATATTGCTATATATTCTTACATATAAAAAGATTCAGAAACATTTAGTAATCAAGCAGTCCTTTCCTCACCCTATTGCTTGATTTTTTTAGGAAATTATTTTTGATATCAATTGCTATTATCATCATTCTTAACATTATTATTTTCAATGACAATGATATCAACACCAAAGAATCAAGGAATGGTGCAAATAGGCAAGTTTAGGTAGGCCTAGTAATTAACCCCTTGGTGACTATTCACTGCTGGAGCCAGCAATGTGTACACAGAATTAATCAAATGAGATTGTATCCTTACATACATCCATGTAGTCCCCTTATCAGCCATGCTATTGGCATTAAGAGTTGCATCATTGACAAATTTGTCTGTCTCCTATGCAGAGGTTTATGAAATGCTGTGTTGTGAGCAGAAGTGTAATAGGCTTTTGATACAGGTTTAGTAATTGTACAGTTTTAGAGGATTCATTTAACATTTTTTCCATTTGTGAAATATCAGTGGCAGGATACTTAATTCTGTACAAATAGAGACAGATTTTGGTAATTTGACAAACTAGGGATGTTTCAAGTGTCTTGTCTTCATTTTTGTCTCTACTTGTCAAAATTCATTAACGTAGAAAACGTCAAGAGGATCAATTTTAATAATTTATTGTCATCAGTTGATATTACAGGAACTATTACACTTTATGGTGAAGAGTGTGTGTGGGTAAGTATATCCTGAATTTTCTCATTCTTTATATTTTGCTTTTTGCAGGATTGTAGTTTCCTCACTTGCAAAAATTCTTTTCAGAAAATAGAATACTAGTTTCTTTAGCAAAGTCTGGAAGATTATATGTGGACTAATTTATTCTAAAGGAAACGGGAAAACGGACACACTAAAAACAAGAATTTAGACTCAAAGTCAATAGTTTAATTTCCTTGTAATCTTTTCTTGCAGGAAATTTGGAGATATTGGCAGCACTGTAGCCAGTCAGTACTCAGGAGGTGCCTATAACATTGTTGATTGGGCAGAGCTTGTGACAGTACATGGCCTGCCTGGTGATGGCATTATCAAAGGTAAAAGTGCTAATGAATTCTTACCACTTTATTGTTGTATTGATCATTACTACTATTAGTATATGATGGTTGTTTTCATTGGATTGTTGTTTATATATCCTACTATTGTTGTTATTGTTATTTTCATTATTTTTTTTTTTATTATTATTGTTGTTGTTCAGTTGGATATACTTCACTTGTATAGGAGCAAAAAGTAGTCATCTGTATGATCCCTTCCTTTATATTTTTATTACAGTTTCATGTGAGGGTGCAGCAGTATTTAAAACAAACACCATTAGTTTGTTTAGTTTTAAGTCTTAAATTACCGTAGGACTCCCATTAAACACTATTTGTTCACAAATTCTTTCTGATGTATGCTAATCTTATTTCCTGAAGGGCTAATGTCTGCTATAAATGGTCGACCACGGGGCTGTGTTCTGGTATCTGAAATGAGTTCATCGGGAGCTCTCACATCGCAGGAGTATGTCAGCGGTAAGTAGTACCTCATTGCTCCGCCACCCCCACGAGGTTCATATGGTTGATTGGGTTGGATGATGTTGGACTATCTGTTAGTTTCAGGATTAACTGGAAGGTCCAAATGAAGAGACCATTTGGTTGTAGGTCAACTATCCCCTAAGAGAGATGCATTTGGAGTATTTAACAAGGTCTTTCCTCCTGTTGCTTGTTAACTCTTGATGAAGCTAAATTATTAACATTAAGCAATGTCTCTGGCCTGGTTGAACATCTCTGGGCATGCAAGTAACCAGTGCACTTATTTTCATGCCATTTATGCACCAATAAAGTCCAAGTTTGTGACTTTGTTATAGCCTTCAAACTTGGTGTTATATTTTGCCATAAATTCTTGCAGAAGCATCCAGCCACCACAGTCCACAGTAGAAAGACATTAAACTGAGATAATGGTGGCATGACATACATTGCATCCAAAGGCAATGAAGAAAATAAAATGTTTCCACTGCAATAGTGGAATGAATTCCCCGAGAAGCTACACCTTTTGTGATATTAATCAGTCATTTTTTTTATTTTTTATTTTTTTATATATTCTTTATTACTCTTCATTGCAATTTAGGCTGCTGCAAGATTGCTGAGAACCACACCTACTTTGTGATTGGCTTTGTGTCACAGAGCAATGTAAGCAGTGACCCACGTTTCATCCTCCTAACACCGGGGGTCCAACTTGACAAGTCTGTTGATGGGCTCGGACAACAGGTGAGGGCTAAAAGTGTTGCTGTTTTCATGAAATATCATTCTAATGCGTTTGGTTCCTGTGTTATGTTTCAAGGTATATGCGGGGACTTAGGAAATTTAATATCCCTGGTTTCCCTTCAGGCAGACATTCTCCACATTTAGGCTGTGCAAAATGATACTGCCTAACCATATAACCTTTCCTGCAAAGATAAAGTCATAAGGGAAAAAATGTGAATAAAGGAGGGAGATTTGTATTATTCCATAGATTTCTGGTAACCTTTTGGATAGGGTATTGATGCATTTTGGTAGTGAAATAGGAAAGCTTGATGGCAGAGATATCAGGTAAATGATTGAGCAAGCCCAAGGGTGTTTTGATTGTCAAAGAAAAGATGAAAAAATAATAGATAGAATGTTTGTTATTGTAATTGGTTTCTGGCTTTAGGAAATCATAAGTTGCATTTTATTTATACGAGAATTAGGCTATATTTTAAAATTCATATAATTGCCTATCCCTATTTTCTGCTTCTTTCTCTTAGATTCAGTGGTTTATAGTAAAACCTAGGAGCAAGGACCATGTAAATATCATTATTCAAATTTTTAGGGGTGCCCATCATTTATGTAACTGATTTATGTAATTAACATAATTAGTTGTATAGTTGTTTCATTTTTAACATTTTATTTCCATACATATTTAAGTTTTTGAAAATAAGGCATTTTGCAAAAAACAAAGGGGAAATAAGGAAATGATATAACACACAGTCCACATCCCTATGCTAGTCCCTCCTCAAATATCTTGCAGTATGTGACTCCACGAGCAGCAGTCCTGGAGCGAGGGGCTGACATCATCATCGTGGGCCGAGGGATCAGAGAGGCCGAGGACCCGGAAGCAGCAGCAATAAAGTACAAAGAGGAGGCTTTTTCAGCATACTTGGAGCGCATTGAGGCCCAGTAGAAAGCTGTGGGGAGAATCTCGCACCAGATTTTTTTTCTGAGACTAGGCCTACTGTGCTTTAAAAAAGGGGTCTGAAGTAATAGCAATAGCAGGCTCATATATTTGATAATAGTTGATGTTTTTTGTTATAGAAAAAGAGAGAACTATTTATATATGAGCATTATAGAGAGGGTTTTGTTAACTTTTTTGTTGTATATATAGCATTGCTATTGTATTTTAGGAAACTTTCTTTTCCTCGACTTACGAAAAAAATATAGATTATATAGTTGTGCCACCTACTGTATAATGAACTCATTGTTATAATTTCAAGATTCTGCTGTATCTTATATTTTGAAATATTTTTATCTAAATTATAGTGATTTGTTAATTTGATTTTTTAAATTTTGTATGTTCAAGTTTGTAACATTCCATAGGTAATAATGTATATTGCATTTTTTTTTTTTCTGCTTTGAGATTCTACATTGTTAGTATTTATGCATTATGAAAAGAGAAATATGGTAAAGTTCAGATGAAGTAAATATGTAAAAAATATAATAAACTAATTTCCCAGAATTACAGTTAATACAGAGTATTGTAACTCACTCCTTTTGATACCAGTAATTGTCCTGGTTCATTATTATTAATTTAATTCTTCCGTCCTATTTCTTTTCCCATGCCAAGGTCCTCCTTCCTCCTCCTTGTCAATAAATTTAAGCTCTTAATGATTTTGATAACAGATGCACAAAATCATTTGCTGTAGTAACACAATGTCTCAAATATTTGATTTCTTTCACATTATTTCTATTTGCTTTTTGTGTTCTTGTATTCTTTAAAAATATTAATTTTCCTTCGCTTAAGGACGTCACCTGTATTTGGTCACAAAAGAGCAGAATTGAGACTGATATAGACCAATTATGGTACTGCCCTTGACCTCTCATTTTTGTTGTTTTTTCAAGGGTCCAGCTGTGTACAGTTATGTCATGCATGCCCAAATCGGTTTCATACATTGATAGAGGACAGTGATTAAAGTCAACTGAGGATGAATGCTAGCTAAAATAGGTTTGAAAATAGGTTTGTGTGATAAGTGCTGTATAGATTGTAATTTGTGTACATTTCAATTGTATTGTCAGTTAGTGTGGTAGACCTCTATGAAAGACGCTAAAGTATATTTATATATATACATATGTATATACTTGTTCTTGGAAAAGGTTAGCAAATGGAACACACAGGTACCAGGAATAGGAAATGTTTTGTCAAATGTGTTATTATTATAGCAATACCGAGTCATTATAACCAACTGAGCAAGAGAGGTTTCAAGGATTTTGAGGATTTACTGTAGATATTAGGGGAATATGAGAGTGGTATTGGATTAATACAGGTAAATATTTTAGACAGTTCAATGTAAATGACAAGATCATTTTTATGGTATTTTGGAAGTTCTACTATTTTCCAAGCTGTGAGAAAATACAATGTAGAAAGTAGCTTCAGATAGCCATTGTTTAATAAAAATAATGAAACATAATAACATATCACAAAAGTTGTAGTATATATTCTTGAGGGAGGGAGTGATTTTGCTATAGTAACTCCCTCCCTGAAAGAAACCCAACTGTTGCTGAAAAGACTTCAGGGAAAGAAGTTCCATATCAGTTTGTATTGTCATGGAAGCGAGTACCAAAATCTTTGTAGAATAGTCAAAGAAAATGCTCAGTGCAAGAATTAAACAAACTTTGTGTAGAAGTTAAAACATACTGGTCATGCTTGAAGATACTTCGTCAGTTTTAGAAACCATTCATGCTAAGAGAGACCTCAAAGTGTGCTTAGATTTTAAAGGCCTTGGGATTATATAGTTCCTACAGAACCATCCTAGGAATATAAACACATTTCAGTCTTGCTACATTGAAACTTTAGCTTACAAATGTGAGATTAGTATAACTTGTACTTGTTCTAGTTCCACATGACGGATTCTTGACTATAGGCTACAATTACCAGATATTAGTGGGATAGAATCCAATAGGTTATCAAATTCTTAGCTTGTGGCATATGTATGTTAAGTAAACCTTGTGCCTGGTGAGCATGTAAAGTACTGAGAGTAAATTACTGTTTACATACTCTTATCATGCTGTAAATTCGTAGGCCTATTCTTGCATAGTACAAATGGTTGAAATATTATATTTGACTTGTCATACAATTCTTAAACATGATGTTCAGTAAAAATAGATGGTTCCTTTTTCTAGTCACACAAATTGGGAAAGGGTAAAGTTGACTTTCTGATGAGAACCTTTGAAATAGTAATACAGGGTTATGTTTTTCCTCCACACTTATGCTCAAAAGGCCTAATTGCAAGATCAAGACTTTTTCTATGGTAAAGAGCGAGGTTATGTGGTATCTCTGTACAGGCTTCAATTACTTGATGAAAAGCACATTCATTTCCTTAATTTACTACTAGAAAAACAAGGCTTGCAGGAAAGAAAGAGAAGAATAAGGTTTGTCATATCTCAGAGGTAGTGTGGGAAAGGCTGTTGAAAATGTAACTGCACACAAAGTACCAACACAAATTCCATGCAGAACTCGATCCAGTTCATGAGTTTAGAAGGTACGTAGCAGTCTTGTGGAGATAACATAAGCAGGGAAACTACAGTCACACAATCAAATTGCCTGTGCTGTCTCCTGTGTGGCCACAAAAGCTGTCCAACAATGGCCAAAACCTGCCATTTGGCAAGTGCTAGATCTGGTAACAGTGCTTGGTAAGTGGAAGATATACACTCAGCTGCCAGTGCCCATTTACAGAAAATTTTATGCACACATACTTCCAGCTGATACTTTGTACCCAAGTTTAGCACACTCATAATTGTTCCATAATTATTCTCAACTTTATGTACATCATGTATTACTCTGTTGTGGGAGTGCAATTGGTTACTCCTAAAAAGCTCCCTCTCAACAGGAAAGATCTGAGGGATTGAATAGCCAATTGTTAAAAGTCTGCTTGTTAGTTTGAGGTCATTAGTGGCAAGAGATAGCAATGGAAAATGGCCCATATTAAAATTTATTACACATAGGAAGGAGTCACCAAGTTTTGATTTCATTGTGATTCTGGACAAGTATGGTTGTGCCTTGAGATATCTAAGAAGAATGAATTGTAAGCAAATATATATATCAGAATCTTGTATATAGGTAATAGATATGCATTGGGATCAGTTAATTTTATAAAATGATTGTCCAAACTTTTTACGTAATAGGTTATTATTGAAAAAAAATAATTTTGGCATTTTAAATCCTCATTTTATAAGCAATACTTTCTTTTGAAAGAAAACTAAGTGACAAGACCTTTAAAAACAGGCCTTTGTATTTTTTTCTTCTGGCATGTAATATACTTGAATTGAACGGTCTAGTTAAACTATGCAATCCTTCATACTAGACAGTAGACAATCATTCAGCATTTATAAATAAATTATAATAATGGTGTTGATACTAAGCAGAAATGAAATCTCAGTGAAATTCAGATGCCAAGACAAGTTCCTTAAATCTAAAAATATTAATTCAGAAACTGAGGAAAAAAGTATTGCACTAGTTGAAGCTTTGACATCTTTAAATAGTTTAATTGATTCCATCAGATGTTGAAGTAAGCGCAGGACACTGCATATACAGATATTTAAGAAGGGATATATATAGTGTAAAGCAATAATCCTTTTATGCACTTAGAACATTGGGAACATTCTCATTTTCACTAGATACCTGATATCAAGCTACACCATCTGTAATGTCAAGCAGTGGGTAGTGGACACAAGTCAAGGGATCTTCCTGTGTCTATCAGAGTAAAATCTCTGGACTAGTTGATGTGATAGCAGCAATTAATATGGCAAATAGTGATGTTTTCTATCTCAACTGTGTTGACCACAATGATTCCATACTTTGCTCAACAGTCTACACACTGGTTACTGTCAGTCAGAACTGCTCAAGATTCTACTTTGCAGTATGGACATCATGACAGGCAATGGCAGTTAGACTTTTCCCTCTAAGGGCACTACCTGATTAGTGAAGAGACAGTTTATTAAGGCTCTACACTAAAGGGGTATTACTTACATGCAAAAAGTTACCAAATCACAAATTACAATCCAGACTAGGTGGAGGGGATGTCAATGGCAGGAAACCATCAAAATATAGATGCCCACAAACAACTGTGCCAAACTCATCACCCAGGAACCGCTTGGTACGGCAACAGCAAAATCAACTCTGATATCATAAGTGCTTACGCCCACATTGGTACTGCCCCTCACAAAGACTAGGTCTAAAACCCTAGCCACAAGCATGCACAACTGCAGGCACCTATATAGACCAGTCACAAGTGAGAAAATAACAAAACTACATGTTTATCGAGTCTTTTGCCTGTTTGTGAAAACTACCCTTGTGCCTATCTATCATACCCACTCAAGTGGACAGACCATATGATGATGATGTAATAAGGCTGGGCTAACTTTGAACCCGGAGTTTGCAAACTTAATGTAGATCTAATAATTACCCATTAAAAATTAAAGGTATCAAATATACTGCTATGGTCCACAATTGTTTGACACCTGCAATTAGCTTGGTAGATTATCTAGTCTGTACTAAGGCTGAAACAATTCTGAATACTAATATTCATATGAACATTGATAGGGTGGTGATTGTGGAATACAGCATATCAACTCGACATTCGATATCAAATTGCATGCTACTTTTCACTTGTAAATACTTCCTGTAGGCAAGGTTCTACTTGAAATAGGAACTTTGTAATTTCAGTTAATAAAGCCCTTTTTCAACACCGTAATCTTTCAGGGTCTAACCTTTTGCTGTTTATTTTCAGACTTTGGCAAGAGAAAATTAATTTAGTGATAGTAGTTCAACTTTGGATATTGGCACAAATTATATTTAAAATGTAATTATTTATTTTAAATTCATCTGGAAAATTATGGAGGTTGATATAGTAATTTCTTTTATCACTTTTCACACAAACAAAAACTGAGGTAAGGATTTCCAATAATAAAATTAAAATTGGAACCACACTCAGAATTCTTGTCAATGAAACCATACAAAAAATCCTTAGTATTTCCTAGAAAAAAAAAAAAGGGATTTGAAAAAACTTTGTCCATATTTATACAAGTAGCATTTATAAAAGAAAAACTACTGTCTTTTTCATTTACTTGCAAAATATGGACTTGTAAATGACCATCAAATAATCAACACTTATGGACAATGTAAATGTAAACCAGAACATTCATATAACATTTATTTTAGAAAAATTCCACATATCCTTAAACCTATATAAATCTTATATAAATGAATCACTTAAACTCTGGAATGATCAACAGATCCGATCATTCGATAACTTCCAGGTGACCCTCTCAATGAAGCAAACGTCTATACACGCCTGTTCTCCTGTAATAATTTATCAACTTCTCATTCACAAAAGTCAGAAGCTCCTGGTTGACAGAGCAATTCTTATAAAAAACAAAAAACAATTTCTCTTCGCATTCAGCCATTCACACCCCTTGCCGACAACTCCACAGCGTCACTCGCATTGAGTTGGAAAAGACCTGTCCGCATCCGTGGGGTTTTAAGAGCGCGTGTACTTGCCCCAGATGTGGAGCATGAAGACAGTGGCAATGAAGACAAGAGAACCAACAAGCACTGGCAGGGGACCACTGTGTAAAGGAGAGGAGAGGAAAAAATTAATAAACCTGCGATTTTTCTTTTGAATACTCAATTACCCCAAAAAGAATCTCCCAAACTTCAAGCGGTAAATAACGATTTTTGAAAGTTCTTTCCTCAATCAAAGAGTGGAGAATCCAACCAAGCCAAAAAAGGGAAGGACTTATAGCAAAAGGTATGAATTCAAATGATTATCTTCACCATGGAGTATATGTATCCAAAAAGTTTCAATTATATCTGTCAGAAATACACTGGTTAAAGTAAAACCTCTATACCAAGAAGACAATTCAATCACCACCACCTAATTCCATCAACCACCCAACCTACATCCCAAATAAACCCCTTAACAGCCCACATATACTCACACTTTGATTCCTGGGGAGTCGTCAGTGTAGAACCTCCACATGCCTCCCGTTGAGGCTGAACTGCGGCCAGAGGTAGAGGTGGTGGTCTTGCGTTGTCTAGCTGTGGTTCCGCCAGACTGCCTGGCCATCGAGCCTGACCCTCCACTGCGGGGGGACACTGTGCGGGCTGGGGAGCGGCCTCCAGACCCCACAATGGTCGAACTTGGCGAGGAAGGCTTGGGGGAGGGGAAAGGGGGAAGGTTACCATTTTAAAATTGTCAAAATCTTGAGGAATTTCATCATTACAGTGAAAATAAGGGTTTCCTCAGGGTTGATGGCAAAGCATCTTACTTCATATTAAACAATAAAACAAAAAAGAGCAGCCATCTTTTTTGACAAACATCTTCCTTTATGACAACATAATAAGGTTTACTGACATGAAACATCTTTTAAAATGGGATCCAGCTGTCATCTACTGGTATGTCGAAAAACTACCAAAGTTTCTTTTTTTTGCTTTTCATTGCTTTGATTGTCCTCTGTACTTAAAAGGTATAGGGCTTTTTCCTTGTTTTAAACTGTATGTTGGGAAAGGACTAGTCCCATGAAGGGAATTTTTTCATGGCTTCTCAATATAATCATCCATTTCTTTAAACTTGCATCTTTTTTTTTATTCTTTGATATTCATACCGAATGGACTTAGGAAAGATTACGATCCAAGGCCTTAATTAATACGATAATAACGACATAAAAATATACCGGTAAATGTCCTCGCATATTCTGTTAGCACCTGCCATTCAAGTTCTACATAAACCAACCCGAAATTCCCCTAAATTATAAATATAAATGCACATAAACCATTCCATATGCTCATATCAGAGCCCTAAACCGCACTAACAGAAGTAATCCCAAATAAATAAACCAAGTGACCCCATATGCCACTCGGTAAAAATAAAACAAAATATCTGAAATTCCCAATGAAATAGAACGATTCCACACGACTCGCATGAACATTTACCCTATTCTCCATGAAAGCCACTATAAAAAAACTTTCCAAACTCTATAACATCACCAAAATCTGTCAAACTTACCATGTTTCTGTGATGGAGCTACGGCGGGGAGTGAGTACGGAAGCGACGCGTTCACTCTCGACGTCAAGAAGATTCTGACACAAACACACACGTCACCTGTGTGTCACGACCAGAGGGATGGTTCCTTTTTGAGAATGGACGATCGTGTTTTCTCTTTTTATTTTGATATGGAAGATTTGGTAATGTCACTTTTGTATTGTAGTTTTAAATGTAAATTTTGATAGTTTTGATCTGTTATGGTGTATGCGTTTTTTGTAAATTTTGATGTAATTAAAGTCCTTATTCCGTATTTTTCTCTCTCTCTTTTCTCGTTATTAGGCTGATATATTGTCTATCATACATATACTATTCAGTGAACGGACGGTAATGGCTTTTCAGTAGCAATTACACGTGTATTGTGCACTATTACCTCGAAATACTACACCCGTTTATACATTCGTGATTGTAATACCCTTATATATTTATAACCTTACTGATATGTAATGTGTAAAGATATGCATTTTGTAGTGCATATATTCAGATAGGTAATACATAACATTTCCTATCATACAAAAAAGACAAAAAATCCATACCAAAAACTCTAGAAAAATCACTCAAATACCCCTTTCCCATAACTAACCATACATATAAACACCAAAAACTAGAAAGCGGAACGAAAAAAAAACACATATACATTAATTCCCTCAATCTCCTCTTATCTTGAAAAAAAACCCTGCAAAAACGGGATTAAAAAACGAGGAAATTTAAAGAATGGAAAATGATATATTTCTTTTGGCATTTTGAAGTAAAATAGTTGATGCTATACATATCAATAAATTCCCTAACATCCCCAAACCCTTCCAAAGAACAACAACAACAAAAGTAAAACAAAAAACAAAAATAAAAACAAAACTTTACACTAGCGATCCCTTCGAGAGTGAGTCCCCCGAAGGCGCATGGCTGAGGTTCCGCAACACGTTCGGAAATTCCTGTTTAGGTCGTGTGAGAGCAGGAACTCGGCCTCGTCTGAATGTCTTGAGGTGCTGATTCCGGAGGTGAGGATATGAGGGAGATGTGGGCGGGGTTGGAGAGGTTAGGGGAGTTTGAGTGAAGAGAGGCAGGGAGGTTGTAACATTTCGTTATGAGTTTGAGTTCTTTTGGTATTACGAATAACTTTAATTTTAGTTATTGTTTTTGTACTGTTTCGTACTTTTTGTTTTTGTTTTTGTTTACTTTTTAGACATTTTGTTTCGTTAATGTGTTTGGTATTGAAAAAAAGTTATCAGGAAGACGGTCTCTGAAAATGGTAGTGGTTATATCATTAGTTATTTAACGATCCTTGACCGGCAGTAAACATGTAAGTAAATATCTTAGGTATTATATAGATAAAAGAAATACTGAATAATTCCACAATAGATCATAAGATGAATACTTGAATATATAAATAGATGATTAAAATTTCATAAACATCATTGCTTATAAGGGAGCAATAAAGCTCACACAATTTGTATACTGTGCATTGTCAGTATTTATTACTGTTATATATTTTTTATTTGTGCATTCTGTTTTGCAGTTTACTGTAATTTTTATATAGTGCATGATTAAGATTGTACTTAAGTCCAGTAGACACCCTCAGAGGAAGCATTTCCTCCTCTGATAATTATAATTATTTAGGTGACTACAGGTACAGCAGAAAAGCTCCCAATTGATGTCCTGTGTATGGTGGCTTCTTGACCCAAAAGATGTTACCACTTTCATTTCACTTAGATTGGGTTACATTAGCTTAGGTTTAACCACAAGAAATTGGATATGGCTGCCATATGCGTAACCTCTGGCTATTTAGAATACATCCATGAGCTTTTCATTAATCCTCTAATGTTCTTGGTACTCCAGCAAAGGCAGATATAGCCCTATCATGTGTAATCTTAAGATGTGCTTGTAGACCTCCTCAGCTGTATATCATTAAAAACCAGTCCAAACTGTTTTACCAGAATGTTACCAGTAACTTGAGTAACTGCCAAATCAGATTTTCTTCTTCTTTTTTATCTAAATGGCAAGTTGTCTCCAACTTGATAAAATTATAAACCAATAGAAGTGTAGGGATAAGCAATTACAACAGCTTTTGCAGTTGTTGACTTACTGCATTCTTTCTTTGCCTTTGTTCTTGTAAGCTAGAGCATTGACTAATTACTTGTTAGACAGTAAATAAGGAATGTCTGAAAGATCTCTCACAGTCTACTAAATGCTTTTTGGGAAGGAGAGACTTCCCTGCAAATTTTGTTTTCTAGACAATACCAGTATTAATTTATAGGCAGTCCTTTTCATTGATATCCCATAATCTTGTGGAACTTGAATGGTAGTACATTGAATGTTTTAGAGCATAGTAATGGAGAGAGTGATTGGGTGTGAGAGAGAGAGAGAGAGGTGACAAATTTATATGATGCTTTAGAAGTTTTGAATGGAGGTGTTTTTGTAGTATAAATATTTCATAGTACTTTCATGTAAAGGAGTTTTATCTTGTATGATGAACAATCATTGATAAGTTAATGAATCAGTCGGAGTAACCCTTTGTAATCAGCACTCAGTCAGTCAATCAGTATATATGGTACAAGATTTAAAAAAAAAGCCGAACTGCTTGTGTTTGTGTCAAAAAAAAAAAAAAAATTCTTTCCTTGTCTTCTTCCCTGTAGAATAGTACAAGCTCACGGTGTTGTAGTGGGATGGTATAATTAACCCCTTGTATCTGGTTGCTTCATTTTAGTCACTCGGGCAAAAATATGGGCATTAGGTTTATGTCACTGGCTCCTCTTTATTTTTTCTTTTTATGCATAAGCATTTTTAGATTTTTTGCCTTTTTCCAATGTCTATTCTTGTCATCTGATTTGCTTTATCCAGATGGTAATGGACTTCCTTGAACAGACCATATCATCCCTCTAGGTAGCCCATGACTCAGTGAAAGAAAAATAGATATATGTAACATATATATATATTTTTTTATTATTATTATTATTATTTTTTTTTTTTTTATGTCATAATCAATTTTCTGTTATACAACCTGCATTGCCAGTCATGGAGGCCAGGAATAGGATGCTTAGCATTGGAAATGGTATCCTCCCTAGAGTGGGCTCTATTTCAGTCAAGGATCTCAAACACTGCATACCCCAACAGGAATAATGGAAATGCCCTTTTCCAAATGCCAAATGAGTCAGGTCACCCTCCAGGAGGTTTATGCACTTATGGCAAGCCTTTTTCTATCACCCTGGCCTTCAGCCAAAGCACTCATGACGGCAAGTTCACATCACCCAGCCCGCAGCCAGATTTTCTCATGAGGGCATGTTCATGTCACCTGCCCCCAAAGCCAAAATTTTTCATGACGCGAGGGTCACATCATCTGGATAAAAGAGTATTGTTCCTATGATTTACACATCATGAGCAAATGGCTTTGTCAAGTTTATGTTAATATCCTGTTTCATGGATTTTGTTGTAGGTAGAAGTCGCAGCCAGCTTGGTTTATTTTAGATAGCAAATTTGTACTACTATTATTTAACATTCCCATTTGGTTTACCACAGGATCAAGTCATGCATGTGATTGTTCTAAACACTAGTGGTGTCACATCAGAGAATTGAAGATAAGGGAATTAGTTTCCTTGTCCATGAAATCCCTGCATGCTTTTTTAGTTGATTTAAATCTTTAAGTTATGGAAGAAATTTAAAGCATTTCTTAGTTTTGGTAGCTAATGTGAATTTTGAATAAGCTCTCCGCAACATGAACTGGTATATTCTTTTATGTATCTTAGATTTTCATTGACTGGAGTTCATTTGATAATCAATCTTGTCATATTGCTTCAAAAGTCATCTACTCAGTTAACTGGTTAGATCCGGTTGCATCACAGAAACCACAGTGTAAAAATACAGGCCAACAACCGGGCGTACGATGCATAGGCTGGGCGTGCGCAAATACCCATGAGAAATGACAAGACTCTGTGCCTCTCCTTTGCAAAGTTATTTTCTGTAAAAAAAGTTTTGCAAAGTTATTTTCTGTAAAAAAGTTTTTATTTTATTTTTTATTTTTTTTACCATTTTCTTATGTCCATATTTGCCTTTTGATTTACTTTATCCAGATGGTAGTAGTTTATTTTCCTTGCACAGACTCCATATCCAAAAAGATTTGGAATATTTGGTTATTTGTTTCATATAACGTATTTCTTCGTGATCTTCAATTTTCTGCAATACAGCCTGTGCCACTGGTCACAGTGGCCAGGAATATGGTGCACAGCATGGAAATGGCATGTTCCTTAGAGCCGGTGCTCTTCCAGTCATGGCTTACACACATTACATTCCACAATCGTTTATCGATGGAAATAATGCTGAAGCCCCCTTCTAAACGCCAAATGAATCAAATCACAGGGTATGAGATTTGTGCACTTGTGGCGAGTATTTTCCGTCACCCTGGCCTTTGCTCATTACAGTCTGTTAGAAAGTTTACCCATTATTTTTCTTGCACAGACATCCCTCAATCTAGTATACTAATTGGGGGAAAGGCAGTCTGTTAGTAAGAATTGATGTGGTAATTTTAGAGTATATCAGGTTTTTAATATTTTCTGTGATTTCATGTGATGCATGTAGTTTTTGATATGTATCGAGAAAGTTTTATTTGTAATTGTAGTTAATATTTTTGAAATTAAATGTCTATCTAGTCTTTTCTAAGGGAAAGCTCTGACAATTGAGTTGTTTGTCTATTCTTTTTTATATTTTATTGTATTTGTTTCTGTTTTAATTTTTTTTTTTTTTTTTTCTTTCAACTTACAAATATTCCAAAACAAAAGTTTGGTTTGCAGTATAATAAGCTATAGTAATTTTTTGTTTTTTGATCTAACCACTTAATCCCTTCCAGGTAGTAAGTCCCAGCTATGGCATGTACACGTGGCCCTGTGCCCCAGTGTTGGCACAGTATGTTTGGTACCACCGTCACGACTTCCCAAAACGCAATGTCCTTGAGCTTGGTGCAGGAACTGCTCTCCCAGGCATTGTAGCAGCCAAATGTGGAGCTAATGTTATTCTGTCAGACTCGGGGCAACTACCCAAATGTCTGAGGAATTGCCAGGTGTCATGTCAGGCCAATGGCATAGTTGGGTCAGTGGCAGTGGTAGGCATAACCTGGGGCCTTTTCACCCCCGAGCTCTTGGATCTCGGGCCCATAGACATCATCTTGGGCTCCGACTGCTTTTATGACCCAGCTGTGTTTGAGGACATCCTGGTGACAGTGTCATTTTTGTTGGAGCACAACCCCCATGCCCGGTTTGTGTGCTCTTATCAGGAACGAGCGTCTGACTGGTCGCTAGAACACCTCCTGCATAAGTGGAACCTGTCGTGTACCCAGCTGCCCCTAGCAACCTTTGATGCAGACATACCCAATATAGCTGACTCCAACTTACCTGGTTCTCACACAGTTCATGTGTTTCAGATCACCAGAACTGCTCGAAGTTGAAGTGAGTCAGCATTCCTCTCACCGGGGGACATCGCCTGAGGCATCCCAATTGTGCTCCTAGCCTCTCACAGCCAGAAGCCTAATGGCATCCCGCAACCTCTATAAAGTCTTCATTGGAAACCTTCCCTGGACAGTGGGTCACAGGGAGCTTAGGCAGCACTTCTCACAGTTTGGCTTCGTCACTAGCGCCAATGTGGTGTTTGACAAGTCCAGTGGAATGAGCAGGGGCTTTGGATTTGTGCAGTTTGGCAACAGAAATGGATATGACTCAGCAACCAGCAAGCCAACACATTTCATTGAGGGAAGCATAGTTAATGTACAGCCAACATCAAAGTAATTTAAATGTGTGAACCAACAAAGTAATTTAAATGTGTGAACCAACAAAGTAATCTTCATGTTTGAACAACTGTAGTATTACAGATATTGGTTTAGATATTTTTTGTATTTATTAGATAGCTGAACAGAAAATATGGATGACTTAGAAGAATATACAGCACCACCAGAGGGTGAGTTAGAAAGCTCCTTTTTAAAAGCAGCAAATCTACTGCAAAGCCATGCTGCATCCTTGGATGCAGAAAAACTTCTGTATTTCTATGCCCGTTATAAGCAGGCTACTGAAGGAACATGCAATATTCCCAAGCCAGGTTTCTTTGATTTTAAGGGTAAGCAGAAGTGGGAGGCATGGAAGAGTATGGGAGACATGACAAAAGAGGAAGCCATGAAGCAGTATGTGGCTGCCATCTCTGATGTTGACCCAGACTGGGAGCTAAAGGTCGGCACAGGTGAAGGTCCCAGGACATCATGGGTCCGAGTCAGTAGTCTTGCTGGGAATGAAAAAGATGAAGACATTCCAGAAAAGGATAAGAACTGCTTTGACTGGGTGAAGGAGAACAACGTAAGCAAGGTGAAGGACCTGGAGACTCAAGTCCTGCAGGAGAAAGATGAGAACGGCATGACGCTGTTACACTGGGCGGCTGACAGAGGATACTCCGAGATGGCCAAGTACCTTCTGGAGCGCAAGATCAATGTGAACGAGAGGGATGCAGATGGACAGACAGCACTCCATTATGCTGCTGCCTGTGGTCATGCAGACATGATCCGTGTGCTGCTTGACCACGGGGCAGACGTCTCCATTCAGGACTCCGAGGGACTGCAGGCAGAAGAGTGTGCTGAAGACAATGCTGTTAAAGATTTACTGAAACTTCTGTGAGCCTAGAATCTCGAAGCAGTGTTTGCATCTCAGTGTAACATCCAGTGACAGTGTACTACACCAATTCCATTGTAAATAGAATGCTTCTTATTACATCTGAGTGAAAACAAATATATGGTTTGTTATTAACTTCCTCCAACAGTCAAAGAAGTATGAAAGGACCTCTGTATTGATGATAAACCTTGAAAAAAAGATAACTAAGGCTTTAAAATATTGTTGCAGCATTATATTAAAGCCATATTACATCACTAGATATTTTTCATTTTGAATTATTTTAATACACCTCTTCTCTTCTCTTCTCTTTTCTCTTCTCTCTTTTCTCTTCTCTCTTCTCTCTTTCTCCTCTTGTTCTTGTCTCTTGTCTTCTCTAATTCTCTCTTCCTTCTTTTTCTCTTTTCTCTTTTCTCTTCCTCTTTCTCTTTCTCTCTCCTCTTTCTCTCTTTCTCTTTCTCTTTCTCTTCCTCTGATTCTCTTTTCTCTCTCTTTCTCTAATTCTCTTCTCTCTCTCTCTCTCTAATTCTCTTCTCTCTCTCTTTCTCTAATTCTCTTCTCTCTCTTTCTCTAATTCTCTTCTCTCTCTTTCTCTAATTCTCTTCTCTCTCTTTCTCTCTCTTCTCTCTCTCTCTAATTCTCTTCTCTCTCTTTCTCTAATTCCTCCTTCTCTCTCTTTCTCTAATTCTCTTTCTCTCTCTTTCTCTCCTCTCTTGTCTTTTTCGCTTCTCCTCTCTTCTCTTTCTCATTCATCGTTCGATTCATTTTTTTCTCTCTTCTTCCTAACGTAACCATATTTACTTTCTCTCTTCTGTCCCCTCTTATCTTTCTCTTCTTCCTCTCTCTTTTCCTCTCTTCTCATCTCTTCTCTTTCTTCCCTTCTCTTCTATCTCTTTCCTCTCCTCCTCTCTCTCTTTCTCTCTTTTACTCTTTTCTCTTCCTTTC